CCATCAGGCTGACGTTTCCACGCACCAAAAAACACCAAATTCAGATTGGGCAAGAATAAACATGAAAACCAGTAGCGAAATAAATTTGAACAATGTTAAAAAAAACATCTGTCATTCCATGAAATACTGCTTCGTTGATAGGGTTCTCATGATGGCTTGTGGTAACCCCCAAGTCATATTGGGTGGTGCACGCCCCCTAGCCAATCATCAATCAACCATCATTTATCACTTATATCCAGTATTATCCACTTATGTCTTGTTGTATCCCAATATGTTCATGATCAAAACAAGAATGACTATATAATCATGAATTTTCGGGGTCTCGAGCACTGCTCAAATGGTTAGTGGCAATCAAACATAGCAATTGAATATACTAAATGGATATAAATGGATTCTATGTAGCTGGAAAATCATGGAAACTGGGTTCTAGCAATCCACTTTTATTGACACCGGTCAAGTATATCGCCCCCTGTAAGCACCCTTCCGCCTCAACGGTCGAACTCTGCTCCCAGTGCAGCAACTGCCGCGCATGGAAGACGTTCTTTGGTGCGGTCGAGCGATGGTCGTCGGCCACAGTAGTTACCTTCGTGGGAGATATGATAGGTGCCATGATTGCGAAATCGCTACATGGGATTTATATTATATATGGATTTCTGGGACATATTCGCCCGGAATAATAATAATAAAATAATAATAATAAAGGGAATATGTATATATATATATGTAAATATATATATATATAAATAAATCAATATATATATATATATATATATGAGCGCTGATATATATATATATGTATAATTTATATAATATAATATAATATTAAATTATATTATATTATATTATATAAAATATTAAAATATTATATTATATGGGAATTATAAAGGTATACGGTTATCATGTGTATATGTATATATATACACGAAAAACCGTGCCTACGCAAGGGGATGTGACAGTGTATAATCTGAAAATGTCTGAAACATGACACAATACTCTTGAGGGAGATATGATGAGATATGCATATTTTCTGATTCCTGTAAACCTTGAATCAAGACAGGAAGCTTGGGGCGAGTAAATCCAAACATGGTGGCAAAAACATATGTCACTGTGTGGGCATTGATGAGCACAATGCTGGGATATCAAAGATCTGGCAAGTTTCTAAAAGAGACAGTGCAGGGAACTGATAGCTGATTCAGACCTCATGAAAAATAGGCCAATGCCACCAAGTTTCAATGTAAGGCACCAGAAAACAACATGCCAGAGAAACAAAAGGCATGGCAGCGAAGATCTCAGTGCTCTATGAGCCGCGTGTGACATATTCACCTGTAGTGTAGTGAGTGCAAATTTCATGGCCAATCGTAGAGGCTCCTGTGTTCCTGAGTGATACATCTTGATCCCTAATGCTGGTCCAAGTCTCCTCCTAGGGCTGGTTTCTTCACACAGGTCCCAACTCTTTTAAGCCAAGTTCGAAGTAGGAAGACTTCACTGCCACTCCATCTATGTGTGTATATAATATATAAGTTGTAAAGATATACGTATATATATATATATGTACTGTATATACTACCTGAAAACTTGCTTTTAGCACAAACTCTGCTTGATGCGAAACGCTGGTAACCATCCGACTCTCCATCCATCACAAGTTCATCAGCTGTCGCCGCTATGAAATGAGGGATTCACAAAGGACATACAAAATGTACTGTAGAAGATTTAAATGTGGCAGTCACGCAATGCCATAAATCATCCCCAAGTCATCACCATTTTGTTATCCGTGGGATGTTTACATTTTTTTGGTAAACCATCCAAAAAAAATGGTGGTTTTATGACATTGGTTTACCACAGAAAACGGATGATGAGACACAAGCCATTTTTTGTGGCACCATTGAGAAATCCAATCCCAGGCATTCCATAGGGGAATGTGTGGGTGGCACAATAGGGGAATCATGAGTCCGACTATCATAGAACGATCATAGCCCAAGAGTGGATGGCATTTGAAGGAAAACTATAACATTCATCTTTGCTTCATACTGACGAACAACTGACAATGAATGTGACTCTTTCCGCTGCAAATGGAAACCATGTGTATTTGGCTCGTGGTTCCAAGCCATCCTCAAAGTGTGAGTCAATTGTGATTGTCCCAAAGCATGGAACATATATAGCTTTGTCTGAAAACAAAGGTACTTCTGAATCCGCTCGTTAACCATCATTTTCCCATAAACAATAAGTGACTATTTCATGGGTATTAAGCCATTTTGAGACACACACCATATAGTATTGCAGTGCATTATAACTATAGTAAAAACCACAATCATTGCAGCCTGGGATCGTCAGGCAGCGCCCAGGCTGAGAACGTGTTTTTCTCACGCGTGAGCTGGCAAATTCAACAGGCTTCCTATTCTACAGATGGAGCTGCTCGCAGCTCCCGGATTTCGACCTCTCCACTTTGCAATCTGAACATTTCTTAACCACATGACCACAATTTCTCAGGGGAACCAACCCCCGCTCCATCCGAAACCGCAGCGGGATTGGGGTTTTTCAGCTGCCAGGACGTGACATCCAGAGAGCTTCGCTTCGCTTGTCGTTTTTTGGGTATGGCTTTTGGTGGAAACCCAAAAAAACACCAAATTGCATGGGCTTTCATGATTTTTCAAACTAATGATCAAACTAATTACAAGATATGGCATGATATGGCATGATATGACCATATATGACCTAATTATGGCCGATATGGCATGATATGGACCATATATGACCTATGTTCAAGATACACTCTTGACACAATCATGACTATCACCATCATGTCACCCATCCATATATGTCATTGGACGTACTTCCCGAACCATCCTCTCCAAACCAAGTGATGTCCACCCGCGTGCCAGTTGCTCACCCACAGCATCCAGTTTTGTGTAGTTACCTGTACCTTTCAGTATATCTTATCAGTTGTTTTATAGCTCTGTGGGGGTATATGCAGGTGCAAACAAAAACAAAAAAAGGTACTAGTACACGGATCATAGGCAATCAAATGCGATCAATGTCTCATGTCCTGCCAACATGTTGCGCCACGAGCCACATCTTGTGCTCAATGGCAACTCTTTAGGCCCAACTTGCCCTCAGTCATCCTCATAGCACGAAGAGGCTGTCTCACTGGCACACGGCCTCAGAGCGACACGAGTGACACGAGACAAACCGCCACAGGTGACCGATCGTGCGATGATCAGCACCAGCAGCAGTAGTGGCAATAGAAGGAGAAGATGCAGCAGCAGTAGAAATAGCAGTAGCAGTAACAGTAGTACTAATAAAAGTCATAGTAATAAAAATAATAGTATCTAATGGTAGTAGCAGCAGTAGCAGCTGCAGTAGTACTAGGAGTAGTAGGAGTAGGAGTAGGAATAGCAGCAGCAGCAGCAGGAGAAGTAGTAGTAGTAGAAGCAGCAGCAGTAGAAGTAGTAATAGAATCGGACTTTCATATTGGCATTTGTTGTGGCGTGACTGGGTTCGGGTATGGATCGGGTATGGAACGGGTATGGATCGGGGTATGGATCGGGGTATGGATCGGGACACGCTATCTGGGCCGGCTTTCACGCTATGGCTGTGAAGGAAGAGAGCGGGGTATTTCAAGTCTAGTCTAGTTCTACACGTGCCAGATAAAGCAGAAACAGAAGGAGTTGTAATCATAGCGCCACTAGAAGTACAAGAAGCACCTAGTGGAACTAGAACCGGTCTTACTAGCCTCCAAGGTGCGCTGCGCTTGCAATATTGCTAGTAGCTACTCAACTAGTTGCATTTGTCCAACTACCAGAAGCACACGGAGGAAGTGAACCAGCACCAGCAGCGAGAGCAGGACCAGCAGGAGCAGCAGCAGAAGCGACAGCAGTAGCAGCAGCTCCTGGGAGGAAGATGACTAGTAGTGGCAGCAGCAGCAGCAGCAGCAGCAGCACGGAGGCAGCGGAGGCAGCTGAAGCAGCAGTAGCAACAGTAGTAGCAACAGTAGTAGCAACGGGAGTAGCAGTACGAGGACCAGAAGCAGTATTAGGATAAAAAGCAGCATTAGGGCCAGCATCAATCTTTCTTCAATGAGAAAGGGGTATGGATCAAGGGTATGGATCATGCAGTACCACAGGGTATGGATCGTGTGTGGGTTCGGGGCCTTGATCCATACCTTGTATTTTCACTCGTACCCAAAAATGTGTGTGTGTGTGTGTGTGCATGTGTATGTGTATGTATATGTATATGTATATGTATATGTATATATGTATGTATATATGTATGTATGTCTATGTATATATGTATGTCTATGTATGCGTGTGTGGAATTGTCAGTCCTCATGGTCGTCGTCGGTCGTCCTCATCTTCATGATTGTTCCAATCGTCCGTCCATTCATCCATCAACCCATCCATCCATCCATTCATCCATTCATTCATTGCTTGGGACGCACCTTCAAAAAGGTCTCATCAGTGATGACTTTTTAACCTCAAGTCGGGCAGAAATGTTGCAAGACAAAAGGATTGCCGGGGTGATGCTGGGTCTCTGGGTTTTGTGCATTGTCTTTCCAACACATCAATGCCAACATTGATAAGTAAATATCTATTCAAGATAGATGATACAATGATGCGATGTCAACGCAAATCTTTTCCAGTCCCTTCGGACTTCAATGCAAAGGTTTCTGAAGTGGACATCTGTGCAAACCTGTCCAAATCCTATATGCTACATTTTCGTGGGTTTCCCAATCTGGGTTTCAGGGATTTCTGATACGGGAAAACGGTGTTTCGGGATTCGGGGATTGGAGTGCTGTTTTTCCCTTATTGGGGTGGGGTTTCCGAATCTCGGGATTAGAAGTGCCGAAGCTCCCCAGATATTGGACGTGTGTGTGTGTGTGGATGCAGGAAACAACGGGCCCTCCCTCAAATGGCAGCTTGTTTCGGTTCGCCTATTGTCCAGCGCATGGTAATTCAAGCAGGCGGACTCTTTTTTCCTTTGCGCACATGAGCGGTGAAACGTGTTTATGACGCTTTCTTTATTTTCAAGCCCATTTTTTTGCAAAGCTCTTCCACTACACATTTGGCCTGCTCTGACAACGAAGCACTGAATTGAACATCTGGCCCTTTCCAGCTGAAGCCATGAACGTCTAAGGACAATTCCTGCCAAACTGAGATGAGCAGGTCACTTGTCTGTTCTTTGGGGGCGCAGTACGCCGCAGCATCGCGAAGATGTTGCGTCCAAACTCCGAGCTTTGAAGCATTGCCTACCTCCCGCAAGGCTTGTGTAGTGTTGACTGCGCCTTTCAGGTTCATCTCGAAAAACGCCAAATGAGCTGCTCTCTCAAAAACACCTCTGGCTGTCAGCAGCCCTTTGGCGTGAAGAATCTCCACATTTGCAATTTGGGCATGCAGCTCATGGATTTCCTTCTGGGACTTCAGCCTTTCCTCCGCCAACGCCAACTTCTTCTCTGACTCCGCCAACTTCAACTTCAGCCTTTCCTCCGCCAACTTCTTCTCTGACTCCAGCCTTTCCTCCGCCAACGCCAACTTCTTCTCTGACTCCAGCCTTTCCTCCGCCAACTTCTTCTCTGACTCCAGCCTTTCCTCCGCCAACGCCAACTTCTTCTCTGACTCCAGCCTTTCCTCCGCCAACGCCAACTTCTTCTCTGACTCCAGCCTTTCCTCCGCCAACGCCAACTTCTTCTCTGACTCCAGCCTTTCCTCCGCCAACGCCAACTTCTTCTCTGACTCCAGCCTTTCCTCCAAAAATCCCGCGATTGCCGCCTTTCGCTTGTCGGTGTCTCTGATTTGGTTTAGAATCTCAATGAGGTTTGTGGTGTTCTTCCGTGCGGAGGTTGTGACTTGTGTTGATACAACTCGACGTTCTGTTCTCCACAAGATGAGATGGCAGAGGGCACAAAATTCAGCACGGAAATGGCTTCTCATTGACAAGGGGCTTCCAAAGGGCTTACAACAATTTCCATGAAAATGAAGACGTGAAGACCATCATCTGGCATGAACTTTTCAAAAGGATGCTTTCAAATGTTAAAAATGATGAAACCTGCTCTTTGCAACTTGGACATCTTGGACCACGGTTCAGGCAAAAAGGTGGGTGGCAAGCGCTGGACACAACAAATTGAACGAAAAGGCGTGATAAAGATGTGAAGAAAGGCGAGTGTTTGCACAGAGCACTCTCCGAAACAATGGCATCCTCAAGCTCTGTTCTTTTCTCAACTATTGGCAACAAAACTCGTTCCAGCTCCTGGTTGAAACAGCTGACCGCAAGTTCGTTCGATCCAAACTCTGGGAAGCCGGGCAACTCCAAAGACCGTCACAATGTCGCCAAAGCGTGAGGCAAACGGATGGAGGACACGACTGTCATTTTTAAGTAAATCATACTTTGAAAAACACCACTTAAAGACATAAGCCTTTGAACTTATAGGGATTTAATGACTGACAAAAACAATATTCCAAGAGTAAAAGTCTTTCAGCAACTAAAAATAAATGTCAGCAATGTAATGTATGTTTAAAAAAAACAGAGATACGGAGAACAACACATGGAGGAAACAAATCAATGAAACAATAAGGCAATGCTCAAGAATACGATGAACGCCAAAAGGAAGAACTAAGTGATAAAAAAGAACAACTGCATGTCCTTTGTGTGGATTTATAGTGAGAAAATATATAATAAACAGGCACAATCATCACAATCTAAGCATCAAACATCAACAGAACCTGAATGGACACTACCTCACATAAAGTCCGACGCCCCAAACAAACCCAATGAAGTGAAAGTTAGCAAGAAATAATCCCCAGAACCCCCACCTGAAAAAACATCAAAGGCGAGGATGAAACATTGAACAAGAACATAAAAACCATAACAGCCAACATATTAACATAAACTGTCCCAGTATCCCCCTTTTACCATTTTTCCATATTTTCCCGCAAACAACAGGGACTTCCCTGGCAGCCAGATTAGATGTCCAGAGGGGAACTATGGATTCATTCCCACGATCGGGCTGCACCTTTGGCGCGTTTGGAGAACTTAGGTTCAATGACCTGCGAAGTGTGACTTTTGTGTAGAGGAAACACTGATATTTTGATGAGACTTTATCTACCAGCACCCTTTTTCAGTACCCACCATAAAAGTGGCCTGTTAGCATAGGTCACATATAAATTAGCGTCACTTAGGGGATCCAATTTTATGAACTTAATTAGAGCCACTTTGAGGGCTCTGGTAGAGGAAACACTGAAACTTAGATTTGGGGGGGGCAAATCGGATCCGGAAACTTCGAACCCAAACAATCATGGTGAAACCAATTTTCAAACCATGGCTAAAAATCACAGGTGTTTTGGAAAAAGGTCACGAACTGATACCCAAATGCATCAAAACTGTCTTTATTTTGGTGCTATCACAATGTTCATCGAAGTGCACGTGGCTGATAAGCCTAAATCCTCCAAGTTCAGTGATCTCACCCTTGCATGGGTGTGTCTAAAAAAAGGTATCCCATTTCGTCCGATACTTTATCTGTTTGCCTTTTTTTAAACAAACTAGACGACGGTTGGCCCGAGAGCGAAAAAAATGTTTTTCAAGCAGCTCTGAGGATGGTAGTCGTAAAAGATAGTCGGTGAATGGTTGGTGAATTTTATATGAGCTATGGAGGGATAAGGTGTGAAAAGTAAGATTGATTAAGAAGAGGATATTTGGTAAACGGCATTAGATGACACGTGTCTTGCAACCACAGAGAGACATAGATAGAGAGAGAGAGAGAGGGAGACGGAGAGAGAGAAAGAGGGAGAGGGTGAGAGAGAGAGAAAGAGGGGGAGAGAGAGAGAGAGAGAGAAGGAAAGGGAGATAGAAAGAAAACATGGAGAAATATAATGTGAGCAACAAAAGTGCACAGGAGGCTCGGTACCATGATGCTGCGAATGACATGCGTTATCTCATTTTACTATGGCAATGCCTACACACATTGCCGAAAAAGCTCGGTACCATCATTCCTCGGATGTGAAGAAACGCGACGCTTTTATAAAGAGACGCTTTTACACACAGAAGCTTTTACACACAGACGCTTTTACACACGGCAGCTTTTACACACAGATGCTTTTACACACAAACACTTTTTACAACACAGACGCTTTTACAACACAGAAGCTTTTTGATAACACACACAGACCATTTCTACAACACAGACACTTTTCACACAGAGCTTTTCACACAGAGCTTTTACACACAACTTTTACCACACAGACGCTTTGCACACAGACGCTTTTACAGCGACAACTCTTTTACACACAGACTCCTTTACAACACAGACGCTTTTACAAACAGAACCTTTTACACACACAGAACTCCTTTACACACAGACGCTTTTACACCAGACACTTTTTACACACAGACACTTTTTACACACCCTACTCCTTTACACACAGACGGCTTTTTACCCACAGAACACTTTTACACGCAGACCTTTTACACACAGACACTTTTACACCAGACACTTTTACACACAGAAGCTTTTAAACACAGAAGCTTTTACACACAGAAGCTTTTACACACAGACTCCTTTACACACAGACGCTTTTACACACAGACTCCTTTACACACAGACGCTTTTACACACGGACACTTTTACACACAGACCATTTTACACACAGACTCCTTTACACACAGAAGCTTTTACACACAGACGCTTTTGCGCACAGACGCTTTTACACACAGATGCTTTTACACACAGACTCCTTTACACACAGACGCTTTTACACACAGACACTTTTACACACAGACTCCTCTACACACAGACGCTTTTACACACAGACACTTTTACACACAGACACTTTTACACACAGACTCCTTTACACACAGACGCTTTTACACACAGACACTTTTACAGACAGACCATTTTACACACAGACACTTTTACACACAGAAGCTTTAAAATGCAAGGTTTTCCAAATAATTAGATGCCTTATTAAACCCTTATCAAAAAACAGCATCCAAACAATTTTTCAAGGGGGTACCTCATGAGTGGCTCAGTTACTCAATAATATGAATGTTTGGATGGTACTCTATTGTGCCCAACAACTTTTGGGGTTGAAAAAAAAAAACCTTGCAAGCAAATTGAAAGTAAATTGAAATCAATTGAAAGTAAATTGAAATCAATAAAAATTAAATTGAAATAAATTGAACTCAATTGAAAGTAAATTGAAAGTAAATTGAAATCAATTAAAAGTAAAAGTAAATTGAAAATCAATTGAAAGTAAATTGGTTGCAATTGAACGTAAATTGAAATCAATTGAAAGTAAATTGAAATCAATTGAAAGTAAATTGAAATCAGATGAAAGTAAATTGAAAGTCAATTGAAAGTAAATTGAAAGTAAAATGAAAGTAAATTGAAATCAATTAAAAGTAAATACCCGCAAAAAATGTTGAGGGGGGGGCGGAAAAAAACTGCTAATTATTCAGTAGACAAAAGTAGTTTGAGGGGGGGGCGGGGCCTCCTCACACTAATCAGACGCCAACATTAAATGGAATATGTTCCAGCAAACCATGTTTGATGACACCGGAGGCTAATTCCATCTGACTAGCGAGTCTGGGTTTTGTTTGGCAACTTAGCTATCCTTTGGGGCCGCAGGTACGATTCAAATCTTTAGTTGCCATCCATTTCAGTTATTCAAAGATTTCCGAATCCCATGGATACATCGATCCCATCGACGTGCCGAAGGATGCCGAAGGCAAAAGGCTCCAGTCGGCAATTTCCAGAGGGAGATGAGGAAAACCCAATGGGAGACTGAGGATTTCCCCTGAATTTTCAGATACCCTCCGGTGTCATCAAACGTGGCTGGGAAATTCACTATAAATTGAGGTTTTTTCTGGGAAATTCATCCACAAATGCTGGAGCTGCCATTGGAACGTTTAAATAGCGGGTGCATTAATTTTCATGTGGTAAGCCCAACTGCAGCACATCTGGTCGTCTTAACCAACCATTGTTGGGGTGAGTTTGAGCCATTTCCATTGGTAGCAAAACTTAGGGCTGAACAAGCTATTAAACAAGTTAACAATTGGACTGTTACCCTGATTGTTTGGTACATGGGTACTTCCCGGGTTAAGGTATAATATGGTATAATCACTAAAATATTGGCAAGTATGTTTCGGTGTGTTCAATTCTAAATCAGGACTGCAAGCATGCTAGCCTACTAGCCCATTTGGCAAAGCACCTGGCCTGATCAAACCATCAGGCTGACGTTTCCACTCACCAAAAAACACCAAATTCGGATTGAGCAAGAATAAGCATGAAAAACAGTAGCGAAATAAATTTGAACAATGTTAAAACAAAAAACTCTGTCATTCCATGAAATACTGCTTCGTTGATAGGGTTCTCATGATGGCTTGGGGTAACCCCCAAGTGGTGCACGCCCCCTAGCCAATCATCAATCAACCATCATTTATCACTTATATCCAGTATTATCCACTTATGTCTTGTTGTATCCCAATATGTTCATGATCAAAACAATAATGACTATATAATCATGAATTTTCGGGGTCTGGAGCACTGCTCAAATGGTTAGTGGTAATCAAACATAGCAATTGAACATAATGGATATAAATGGATTTCATGGAAACTGGGTTCTAGCAATCCACTATTATTGACACCGGTCAAGTATATCGCCCCCTGTAAGCACCCTTCCGCCTCAACGGTCGAACTCTGCTCCCAGTGCAGCAACTGCCGCGCATGGAAGACGTTCTTTGGTGCGGTCGAGCGATGGTCGTCGGCCACAGTAGTTACCTTCGTGGGAGATATGATAGGTGCCATGATTGCGAAATCGCTACATGGGATTTATATTATATATGGATTTCTGGGACATATTCGCCCGGAATAATAAGAATAAAATAATAATAATAATAATAAAGGGAATATGTATATATATATATATGTAAATATATA